TTTTATTACAATTTTATATCCTCATTATCTATTTTATATGAATAAATATATCACTAATAACTGTTTTTATCTTTAATTACAGGTTAATGAAGAATAAATCTCAACTTCCCATCTCTCAACAAAAATCCATTGATTAAATGAATAAATGATTCAAGAAGCCAAAGTGAAATTTTCGAATTTGTGAAGGCCCAAAGCAAAAAGATTACACAAGGGAAACAAGACCGGATGCAAACAAGATTGGATTTTTATGCAAAGTTGGAATGAAATGGACTTGGATGCAAAGAGTGAAATGAGTTGGGCTTTTATGCAAAAAATTACGAATTGCTACAGTGACCGAACTCATCAAATGACCGGACTTGGACCTGCTGCATTCTTTCTCAAACAAATGAAGAGTGGGCCGGATTTTTATTTTTGAAAATCAAATGCTCATCACTTGAATGGGCCGAAACTCTAAGTGGACTTGATTGCTTCAATTTTTGAAAATGAAATAGCTAAACACTCCATGACCAGACTTGAGGTGGAGTTGAAATCACAGCAAAGAGTTGGGCCGAAATTGTGATCGGACTTGGGCTTGGAATTTGCAAGAAAATTCTTTTGAAAATCAAATGAACATGGGCTCAAGAATTGGATTTTGATTTTCTTTTGAAAATCAAATAAATCAAAGGTGGAGATTGTTGCTTGGGGCTCAAGACAAATCCAATGGCTCATATTCATTGAAGATTACTATAAATAGGGGTAGAGAGTGAGGGGTTAGAGGTGTGAAAATTTTGTAAACTCCTTTTGGAGAGGAGGGCTACTCTTAATTGAGAAGGCCTTCCAAAAATTGTAACTTTAGTTGCAATTAATAAAAATAATTTTTTCCTCTTTAAATTTGTTCTTTCTCCTCTTTGTTGAATGATGAGGATGGAGATGAAGAGCAATTTGAAGGTTTGCATTTCTTTTCTCTTTTATTTCTTTTTAGTAATTTCTTTATTATTGCTTATTAGTTAGATTTAAATTCATGCTTGTAGTGTAGATTTACTTTCTTGTCTTTTTTATTTTCTTTTTGCACTTTAATTTGTAGAGTAGATTTATTTTTCTTGCATTTAATTTCTGCAATTTATTTTGTAGTTTAGATTTTTATTTTCTTTGTAATTAGATTTATTTCTTGTTCATAGTTTAGATTTTTCTTTTCTTTTTAATTTTGTAATTAGTCTTCTTTTTCTTGTTTTTATTTCTTAAGATGTGAATTTAATTCTTGTAGGAATCTTAGAATTGTATGAAACTAGTCTAATTTCCTTTATATTGTATGAATTATTCTCTTGTACTTAAAATGTTCATGTTTAGGATAATCAACTAGAGAACTAATCGGTAGAAGAAGAATTTGATAATCTATGCTTATCTTAAATGGTTTGATAGGTTATGCTTATGAATTCTAGGATTATTATCATGTTGTTGTTCTTATCATGAATAGTAATTTTAACTTAGATGATAATTTGATAGGTTACACTTTCCTTAAATGGTTTGATAATCTATGCTTAATAAATCTAAGTTGAAATATGATAAAAAGAGAATAGTTTATATTTTGTAATTGAAATTGGTTAGTGGATTATATTCTAGATTTCTTACCTCTTTTGAATCCTTCATCTTAACTTTCTTAAATTTTCTTTTCATTTTTGGTTTTATTTCTTGATTTTATTAATTCATATTTCTTGCCTTATGATTTCATTTATTCTTTAATTCTTCCTTCTCTCCTCTAAAATTCAATTTATTACCTCTTGCATATAAATCAAAACAACCACTCATACAATCACACTTATTCTTTATTCCTAATTGTCACGCACAAAATATAAGAACCAAGTTTAATAATCTCTTAAAATCACCTTCCTCGTGGGATCGATATCTTTTTATACTATAACTTGATAAATTGTGCACTTGCAATTTTGGTACATAATTATGCCGCATCAGCGTTCATCTGTCCTAATGGCTGATTATTTCCTAGGAGAGGGCATTCCTCTGAAACGTGGGTAGGAGATTGACAATTATGACATCCTGGCAGAAACGTGATTGATTTGAGCTGGAACTCGTTCCTTAACTTCTAAAGCTTCTAACCTCCGCAGAATCGTCGCCATCTTCGCTTCAGAAGCAATGTTTGACTCTAAGGAAGGACCACTAGACTTAGAATTGAGGACTGATGAAACCCTATCATCACAGTGTTCCCACTGCATTGTTTTCTCGGATAAACTCTCTAGAAATTCCCAAGCTTCATCTGCATTTTTCTTCATAAAATCTCCCTGACACATCGATTCTAAAGATGTTTTTGAAGAATAGTCCAATCCTTCATATATGACTTGGCACAATCGCCATTTTTCTAGACCATGATGAGGACATTGGATTAAAAGATCTTTGAATCGGTTAAAATATTTCCAGAATGGCTCTCCCGGGATAATTTGGACGAATCACGATCGAATCAAGATCGGTTTCAGACTCGAACTCAGAAGTGGATTTACTGCCAAATCAGGAATCCGATTTACTGCCAAATCAGATCAACAGATCAGAGTCTAAGTCAACCGAATCACGGACGGAACCGGATACAACTACAAAACGACGAAACCACGCCTAAGGGGGGGCTCGGCCGAAACCGAGCCACCTCTAGGTGGCTCGGCCAAAGCCGAGCCAAACCCGAGCCACCTCTAGGTGGCTCGGCCAAAGCCGAGCCACCTTGAGGTGGCTCGGTGTGTCGGCCATTTGTGCGCGGGCACAGTAAAGGTGGTCTATAAATAGGAGGCTTGGTTCATTTGTTCAAAGGTTGGATTTTTTAGAGGCGAAGCCCTGCTAGATTGAAGACTCAGATCTAAAAAAGATTCAAACTTTAGGACTTCGAGGACTTGCTTTCCCAGATCTGGTGCTCGGC